TGTGTAGTGTGTGTGTGTGTGTGTGTGTGTGTGTGTGTGTGTGTGTATAATAATAATATATATATATATATATATATATATATATATATATATATATGACAAACACACACACACACATACACATACATACATACATACATACACAAGATTTACGAGTTACACAAGGCGAGAAAATACAATGCACTAGACATACAATACAATTTATACCCCCCACATAGACACGCTACTCAAGGCAAGCGCTAGGGCTAAACGAATTACACAAGTCGGCAAGATACACGGCATATGTGAACGTGATGCTCTAACACACAGAACGGTCGCCATAGTGACTCGTGAGATGTACCTGACTGAAGCCGATGATCTTCTTCTGTTCCGACCACCTTCGTGCCAAAAGACTGCCCCGGAGCACTGTATCCTGGTCCCCCCTGGCACGCTCTAATTCGTCTTTGAAAGACGAGCCCCATTTTTTGGACCTGTTGGTATGGAGTAATTCAGGGGTTAGTAATTAAACTGTACATACCCAAAAATACAATATGTCGGCAAGGTAGCACAGCATGCCTATCGGAAGCATGCGTGGTCAAGTGATGTATTGGTGTACAATACCAATATCATTTCCGAAGACATGTTGAGACACTACGCACTTTGATATATTTTATATTTTTGAGCATGCATAATAAGAGTCCCTAGCTCCAGAAGCCATAGATCAGTATATACATATACCTGTTAATAAAACGCACCAGGTACACATACCCCACACACACTTTTGGGTAGAAAGATCATTGGACTCTGACTGCAACGTGTTGAGATACTACGCACCTTGACATGTTTTATACTTCAGAGCATGCATAATAAAAATCCATATCTGCAGAAGCCATAGATTTATATATACATATACAAGTGTTCGCATCAGATACACATACATGTGCACACCCCAATATATATATATATATATGTGTGTGCACGCACTTCTGGATAGAAAGCTCATTGGTCTCACACTGCAACGTGTTGAGATAATCTGAATCTGGGTTCTGAGAGTTTGGATCTTCCGATAGCGCCGAAATGCTGGACCCCGTTCGCCTTCGCAGCCCGCTTTGCTGTTGATAAGTGATTTCGAATGTGACAATAAAATACGTAAATAGCCACTATGTCGTACTTGCAGTAATTGTGTTACGGTTGTCCAATCCAATTTTTATGGTGAAGATATGACATGAGGCCCTGGGTGCTGCTGCGTATTGGGCTTGAGTTTGTGTGTGGGCAAAGGCTCGCGGCAAGAGTGCACTCTGAGCAGTCACCCACCTACATTTAGCAGTAGAGTGGGTCTACCACCGAACCTTAGTATGATACACACAAACTAAAGGCGAGCATAACAAGTTCGGAGCAGCGGCGTACATATAATCAACTAACTTAAACATGCATATACATGTTCGCAGTGTTTGGCCTAGTGTGATGGCATGCACTGCCGTGCTACAATAGAGTTCTCTAGCCCCGAATCACACATTATAGCCTTCCTGGACTAAGTTGCAAGTATATCATTGTACATTTTGATATACATATATATATATATATATATATCGTCCGTTCGGTAGGTAACGTTAA